GGAATTTCTTAGGCCCCGTGGCTATTTACTCGTGTAACCAAGCCCATAGTAGTTTTTCTACATCACAAGGGAATTCGCAGCGCCATTTATTTGGACCAAGGCATACAGGCTAATCAAGCAGATCAACTCAAACTTTGGTAGAACTTCACCATACAACTATTAACCCAGCTGGCTTGGCTAGTCAATCTCAGTTCCCAGACCTAATAAAGCTCTTAGGAGAACCAACCATTCAACTACCAGACTGGCCGAATCTAATAACACATCCGCACACAAGGCGGCCTCATGCAAATCCACAAGGATTCTAATTACATGCATGGAGCATATCGCGCACTGCCTCACCAGACAAGGGTATTCTACTAAAGTAGCTAAGGCAGTTACCTGAGCACTTAGATGCTCAGCTAGAAATCTTTATGATGACAAATGGAAGAGTTTCGACCAGTTTGCTACTCGTAAAGGATTCTCAGCCATTAAAGCTTCACACTCTCAAGTTGCAGAATATTTATGTCGTATGAGAGCTGTTAGACACCTAATAGTATCTACTCTCTCAACCTAGCTAGCGGCCATTAATTCAGTTCTCACTATGAACACGGGAGTAAAACTCACCAAGGTTCCAGAACTCGTCGTCTTATTATTTAAACTTGAAGATCAATCAAACAAGTTTAAGGTTCCCTCGTAATATCTCAACGTAGTTCTCCAACAGCTCACTAGTGACGAATATGAGCCTCTGATGGAAGCTAATTTTGAGTTGCTAACTCAGAAGACGCTATTTTTACTCGCCCAAGCTACAGCGGCTAGAATGCTGGAAATACACACCCTAGGCTTTAGCGGAATAAAATTCCACTATGGAGATCATCCAGCAGTTCATCTAGGTCTTCTGGTGTCCCCTGCCGTGATGTTGCTGGAATATTGCTAACAGCGGCGTAAAACCAAACTCAGTCAGTCAGTCATCTAGGTCTGAGATAGGACTTCATTGTGAAGAATCAGCTACCAGGTCAACTGGACAGACAATTCAACATTCCGGCTATATCTTCAATATTAGGACCCAGTGACACACAGGACTTATAATTATGTCCAGGCAAGGCATTGAAGATCTATCTTAAAAGAACTGCTATGAGAAGAAGGAATTTTAAATGCGTCTTCATCCTGTTGTCGACCGTAACATCTATAGAAGTCTCCAGAACTACAATCTCCTTTTGGATAAGAGCGTCATATTACAGGCATACAAAGCAGCAGGACTGGATCTGCCTAGAGCTTCCAACCCTCATAAAGTTAGAGCATTCGCGTCAACTTTAGCTCTACACGGCAACTGCTCTCTATCATCCATCATGGAAGGCTGCTTTTGGAGATCAGAGACTGTCTTCGTCAACCATTATCTCAGAGATATCGCCACAGAAGATCTATCCGGTACCCACAGTTTGGTTTCTCATAGACGATAGACGGGAAAAAAACCAACTCGACCTAATCATGTAGACTCGTAGACGTCAGGTTACTGTCTCATAACCACCGACAGAGAGTCCATGCTCCCCTGTCTTACAAGATAAGTCAGCACATGAGTGATGCGATTCAGTTTCGAAAGTAGCCCCTTTTTAAACATATGGATCATTAAGACAGCTAGAATCCAGGGCCCCATTCCTCAAAGCGATCGTAGGGCTACGACAGTCGTAACTCCCATACTTTAACATAGACTTACGACTGTCGTAGCGCTACGATCGCTTTGAGGAACGGGGCCCGGAATTCTCAGCATGTCTTAAATCCACAAAATGGTAAGATTTGGATTGATCGAACAGTCACAGGGAATCCAGATAGGTGGCTGTGGGATTCAACCAATAAGTATGAGTCAAGATAAGGAAAAATATGTAATTTTTGTGATAAAATTGATATTTTATACTTATCCTGACTCATACGCTGACGGCCCTCCCAACCGTCCCTTCTCAACACTATCTGGCCTCCCTGCAAGCCTTAGTGGGGAGAAAGTGACAATATGGCCACTGGTCACATGGGACAAATGGCGGGAAAGAGGCAAGGGGGCCCTGTTTGGGTGAGTAAGTTTTTGACTGTTCTTGGGAACATAAGGGCAAAGGTTTCCATTCAACCTTCTGAGGAAAAGGGAGATAAGGCAATAAGTATGAGTCAGGATAAGTATAAATATCGATTTTATCATAAAATTACATTTCTTTGAGATATTACTATGTAATATCAAGAGCTTTATGATAGAATATTCTTCAACAAGAAAAAAGGAAAGAATGAAAGAAGAAATTGTGAGTAAGTGAGTTTTGTTTTACACCACACTCAGCAATATTCCAGCTATATGGTGGCGGTCTGTAAAAAAAGAAGAAAGAGAAGTCACTGAAAAGTTAGAAAAGCTAGAAGAGGATACAGACAAATGTCCGGTTGATAAGAAGCCTATGGTGTTGTCCCGCTTGGACTACTGTAATAGTCTGCTTGGAACATGAACAAAGATCTGCTCTCCAGGTTGCAAAAAGTCCAAAATGCAGCTGCCAGATTGATCTGTAGAACCACCAAGCACAGCCACATCTCCCCAATCCTCATGCGTCTGCACTGGTTACCACTCCCAGCTAGGATAGAATACAAAATACTTAGCATGACTTACAGATGTCTTAACAACGCAGCTCCATCCTATCTCTCTAGTCTTGTAAGGGAGTATGTTCCAACCAGGACTCTGAGATCAGCCAATCAGTCGCTGCTCATCATCCCAAATGCACGTCTGAAGACATATGGACACCGACGTTTTTCCTACTTGTCAGCTATCCTCTGGAACAATCTGCACGTGTCTCTCAAAGAATCCCCCTCAATAGCCAGCTTCCAGTCTAACCTAAAAAGTTTCCTGTTCAAGAAGCACTATGACTTCTAAATGAACTCCTATTGTAAATATGTATATAGTAAGCGCCATGAGCAACCACTTGGTGATTGGATATAGGGCGCTATACAAATGGACTTATTATTATTATTATTAAGAACGATCTCCTTACGCAAATAGAAGACATGAAATGTAGACAGCTTGAACTGAATATAAACAGACAGTATAACATTAAGATCTAAAGCAGCTTGTATTAAAAAGCTGAAAAACCAACAAAATATTTCCTCTCATTAGAAAAACAAATGTTCTGAAATAGAGCTATCACTAAACTAGATGAAGAAGGTAATACCAAGGTTGTCACTTGAAGCAACTGGAGTGAGTGATTTTGAGTTTTACTGTTGAAAGACCAACCCCGTTTACCAAGTGATGTGGTGGGATAGCCTAGCGGTTAAAGCTTTTGCTTATCACGCCTGAGACTTGGGTTCGATTCCTCATTTTTGTATGATGTGTTAAGCCCATTTCTGGTGTCCCCCTCTTGATATTGCGGGAATTTTGCTAAAGCAGCGTGAAACTAAACTCACTCACACACTCACCTGCTTACCAAGTGAATTGTATCACCATTCTGTTTCTATAAATACCCTGGACCGACAAAGCTGTATTTCAAAATAGGTATCACCACTGCCATTCCTCTTACCAAAGAATTACTGTCACTCTTGAGCTTAAAATCATCAACCATTTCAAATGGACCAAAGAGTTTGGTGTAAATATTTATATAATACAGCCATGCACGACAATTCCCTCAAAATACCCAATTCAAGAATTATAGTAGATTATATTTCATATGAAAAAACGGGTCATGACTGTCATCGTCAGAAGGGTTTTGGAAGGGAAGTGTTCATACATTGCCTATTGTATTTGAAGTACTGTAGATATCATAGCTTATTTGAGTCGGGAATGAACAAGATCATTTGAATAGACAGCATTTCATAACATATTTGTCTCTTTAACTTTACCAAAACCAAAGTTACTATTACAGATAGGTCCAGGACAGTTTTCATAATAGAATGGAAATATTCTCTGGATGATCTTTAAAGAGGGATTTTGTCAAAAGCCTGGTGCCGTTCCAATCTACATCTAAGCATTGTAGTTTGTGCAATGAGTAATACTGAAAGTCTCATCTTTGAAAAATGTTCTTTCTTTTTCTAGGGGCACAGGGCCAAACACGTCAGGCTCCAAAATGTCCTTATGTAGAGTTATGTCCCTTGGTCATGCCAGAAACCTATGACTATGCGTTAGAATCCAAGTTTGCCCACTTTGTATTGAATGCACAATGCCATTTACAAAGTGGTCAAATGTAAAATGTTATATTTGGGATTACACTTTCTTAGTAAAGTACAGATTATGGTACTTTGTTGGGTTGAGTTCAATCTGGGATTCGAACCCACTTCGTATTTCCAGTTTTTTCATCACCATACCTGAGGTTGATTTTACCAGATTGGCAACTGCAGCACTTACTAGTTATAACTGGAATGTAATGGATAAAACTGCTGTTTAAAGTCACAATGTCACACGACATTTCTCTAAAAATACATAATGCATTTCTCTCAGTAATACTATGAGCCCTCAGGAAAGCAACAATATAATTTATTCCCCAAAAAACTACGTGTTTAGATTACAGTATTAAATAAAAGAGTTCAAATGAATAATTGCAACGTTGCATTAAATGGACTCTCGCTCCGTCTACCAAGCGAACATTAATTCAAGCAAGCCCCATAGAGTTATGGCTCTTGAAGCGCTCTTTACAACTATCCTATAACGCAATTTGTGATTGAGACCAGTTCGGCAAACACGGACAAACAACACATGCAACAGTTTTCAATGTATGGAGCAATCGTTTACATAATATGTATGGCAAGTGTTCTCTGTTTGGAAGTTGTTCGCCTCGAAGTTTCAATTATTGATTTCAGGAAAGTCGTAAGGGATAATAAGTCTTTTATTGCATCAATAGGAAGCTTAAGTGAGTGCATATGGCCCCAATATACAAAACATAGGCCAAAATATTGTCGGAAATATGTGACATTGTGCCTTTAAAATGTTAAAATATAACTCACTCCCTCCATTTCTTGCAGCTTATGAAATTGTTTCTTGTGTCATAAATACAATGTTATCCAAATTCCTGCAGGAGCGGAACTCTTTGATGCAGTCCATGCTGAGGAAGGAGAGTTTGGCGGCATGCCAATATATATCCAAGGATGTTCAGCCAATCAGATGCCTACTGGCTACATCTCATTCGATGATCTCATGGCAGCATCGTCTCCTGCTGGAGTTGACGCCAGCGTCCGTGCAGGTTTAACACCAATGACCCCAGGTTGTTACATTTACACATCTGGAACTACAGGTACTACAGTCATACCTTCAGAGTTTGTTTATGAACAGAGATGAATTCTTTATTGACAGGAGTGGATTCATACAGAATTGGTAGAGCTCAAAGTTAACAATGTCAAGCAATTCTGCAGTTTTAACATAACATTGGTGGAACACAGTTGTTGAAAAGGACTGGAATGTGAATACAATTAGTCTTAATGTCAATATATCTAACGAAGATTATTATCATCTGGGTTTCAGTGTGTTGTTAACTTCCTGTTGCCTGCAACTTGAAAAGGATTTCCATATTTTATTGTGTATAGTGCACTAATTATTTCATAAAGCATGTTTTAGTTCATATTATCAGCTCAGCTGCATTAGGAATAAACAGAATATATTTTCCGAGCCAAGGCTCGCTAAATACAATGTTTATTCCTAATGCAGGATATTACCATCAGAAAACACACTCATGTGATAACCTATATGTTAAAAATAATATCCATTTCCATATAGCTGACATGTTTAGCCATGATACTCATGAATGTTGCCCAGCTGTCAAGTGTCACGTCATGGACAACATCTGTAATGGCAGTTAGGTATGTCAGGACCTTAGCTTCATCACTAGCAGTGTCCTAGAGCCTGATATAGGTGTCGAGGCTATGGTTCACAAATGGAGACTCAATAAGCACATTTCTGTGTTTGATGAGGCTTTCACACAAAGCAGTTGATGCTTAACAATGTCCTACCATTCGCGGTCACAGGGCAGACATTGTCTCGAAGTTACAGGTAACATACTAAGATTTCCGAGGGCGTAAACAGGAGGAGATGCAATCTCATACACACAGATTCCAGAGACGATGTGGAGCAAGTTCGATGTTAATATCACTGAACCAATACACATCTTGATGTTGTTGCAAAGTGTTTCTACCCTTCATATTTTCAGATCTACATAAAGCTTGTTGCACCATTCTAGCCAACTTGTCTTACGGAGTTGATTGTCTGTTTTGCTTTAGGATAAGCTCGAGTATAGTTCCTCCTCTTGCTTCCTCCCTGTGTATCAGAGAACCAGCTTCAATCATGTATACAATGTAGATTTTGTCTGCACATTATATTTAATAAATAATAATAAATATTTGTTACCAAAATACTGAATGTCCTTGAGGGGGTGTGCTATGCTCAAGGAATGTGTCACCATGGTTATGGCTGCGTGAAGGAAATTAATGTTGATCTAATTATACAAAGGGTTCTACTATCTCACAGACTAATTGTAACTAGAAACAATGTCTGTCATGGCTTTGAGTAAATGTTCAGGATTCTGGCTCTTCGGATGTCCTTTTGGATGAATAAAAGTGGTCGTTGGAAATTGTTTAAAAAGCAAATCCAGAGATGAGTATGAACCCTGTGGAAGTCTGGTGATGTTTATATTATTTGGGTCGTTTCATATTACACTGTATACTTTGTTATCCATATCTTTATATTATTTGGGTTGTTTCATATGACATCTTATACTTTCTTATCCATACTGAATACAGTAATGTCCTGTTTGTTTTGTTTTTGATAAAAGAGGGTGATCTAAAACATGATGTAAGACTTTGTCTTGTCACAGTAGATGTATTATAAAATGAGATATTCCTGCTATATATTTCCAGCATGCCACAAATCTGATAATCTGCCCTTGATTTTAGTGCTGTGCTGGTTTGTAATGTAAAATGTTAATGTAATAATATCAGTCTCATATTTGACTCTCAGGAATGCCCAAACCAGCACCTATTTCTGTTTTGAGGGAATTGAGCATCGGCCTCGGGCCTTGCAATTGTCAACTGCAGCAGCAATGACATCGTGTACACCGTACTTCCACTTTACCACAGCTCAGGTGGAGGCCTCGGACTGATGGGGACAATCAGAGCTGGTATGTCGAGGATGCAATACATTTCTAATCCAAATTAAGAAATGTTTTTATACTTAATTCAGGGCTGCCCAAACCAGTGTTTATAAGGCAAATCAAACTCACGTCACTCAGTGGTGGTTTCTTGTTGGTGGACTTCTCGAAGGATGACGTGTTGTACATGACGTTGCCGCTGTACCACAGCGCAGGTGGCGGGCTGGGTTTCTACGGGTCCATACGTGCTGGTATGATGTCAAATGCCTGTCTTGTCCATTCCACAGCGCAACCTTAAAGAACAAATAAACTTTGTTTTTTTAACTCTTTTAACTATTACATATGAAAGATTTGTGTTCAGTCTTATGCGGAACACCAAATTCATTCTTTAAAAACTTGTGGTTAATTAGTACCAAGCAAATAAAAGTTGCCAAAAAGTCGCCTGCTTCACTCTCGCCCGCCAACGAAACCACAGACAGGCTACGTAACTCTGTCACCCGAGCACTGCAGTGACGTCATATGAGGAAGGATTTTCAGTTAGTTGTATATAAAGTGTGTAGCAAGCTCGTCATTTTGATGATTTCTCGACATCAACGAAGACATGCCAAATCGTTGCGCTTGTCGTCAATTGCTCCTAGAGGTCGGGCGATGGTGTCGCCATGCACAGATTTCCACAGGACCGCGCGCAGTTTCGCGGCAAAATGGGTTATGTTTGTGAGTGCGCGGCTTAGCGTTGTGGGAAGCCTGAAACGATATCTTACTTGTGTTCAGATCGCTTCACGGAAGTTAAATAATCAAAACTACATACTAGTCGTAGTAACATATGTATATGATTGATGACCATAAAGATTTTCCATGACACAACTTGTAACATAACGATTTCTGCCTCAGAAGCGAGGTTGTGGTCGGTAACAATAATACTGTAAGTACATGTAGTATTATATTGACACTCACCTCGCTTCCACGAGAGAAATTGTTATGTTATACGCTATGTCATGCAAAATCCTATTGGCCATCAATCAAATACATATTTTACTACCAGTAGAAAGTAGTTTTGATTTTGTAACTCGGTGAAAACAAACCTAAATAGCATTTATACTCAGACTGGCGGATGTTCGCGATAGGGTGCCGCCATTTTTGAAAATCGTGAAGTCACGGGCTAAAGTCTGTTAGAATTAATGAGATTATGGTTTGTGCTCATCAAGTTAGAAAATCAAATTTGAATCATAACCAAAAGCATTTTGCACGACACAACTTATAACATAACGATTTCTTCCACGGAAGCGAGGTGGGGGGGTCAAAGTGACAATACTGCGCGATAAATTTCTTGCTACATTCACGTGGTTAACGTGCACTCACCAGTATGTAGATACTAGTCAATATACGTCTTTATATTTGGTCTTATAATCCTAATTAGTTTATTATCATACTTGTATGCATTTTGAAACTAAATAAAAAGCAGACGATCTGCTGATACTTAAAGTGCATTTTTAAAAGGACTGTAATATCTAGACATTTTATAGTTTGCCAATGTGAATCATGATTCGCACACACGCCCTAGTGTATGTCTCATTACACTTCACGGCAAAAACAACGATTCTGTTGAATGCTACGACTAATGAATAAAAACAAAATGCAAATATTAAAATTAAAACATATTAAATTTATAGGAACAATGTCAGGCTATTACCTTGTTCGAGGAATGTGTCCATCAATATCCACAAAAACGAGTGATATGCCATTCATCTGCAGCTGTTCCAAGTAATGTGTCTTTTAACAGTCTAGTATACGAAAAAGTGATATATCGTTTCAGGTATGTCACATTGGTGTATAGTCTCATTGGTCACCCAAGATAGCACACCTGGCAACTGATTGCATAATGTCCGCCATTCTTTAAAAACGGTAATTTAGTTAGCTAATAATGAGCAATCAATCACTGTATTGGCGGTTAATCCTTTGAAGGAAGGACGTTGTTTTTAAGCAGACACAGACACGACAGAGTGTATTCAGTATAGATTAGTAAATCTACATACATAAACACTACCTTTTGACAAATCTGCAGTGTAAGATAAAAGTAATTAATCAATCAGCGTGTTATCGGTTAATCCTTTGATCGATGTTTATAATGTTGAATATTTACTCCAGACACAAGAAATGCCAAATGGGAACCTTTGTCGGGTAATCTAAGTGGTGTTACCACTAATTATACCTGTTATAAATTCATTAACTGACCATCAAGTGAATGATGACAAATAACATGTGTAGGTTTATACCACCTAACACAGGTTTTCAACGAGGGAGTATTAATTGCTGTATTGCATGCAATTTCAATTGCATGTGAAAACTTATGGGCCGACACTGTTTTGAGAATACAAATAGAACTTCATTGTTGCATAAGAAATACATATAATCATTTGCTGTGTGCTAAAACTGTATGTACCTATTTACCTAAGTAATGGCAAAGTAGGTTTTTTAGTTTACCGATTCAAATAAATCAAATGTCAATTTTTAATATCATACGTAATAGACGTGATATTTTTACATGACATGATTAAATATCGAGGTAAAAAAACACAGAAATGGGATCAATTTGGATCAGTTATTATGCAAATAAGGCCTAACTACACCAAGCGATTTTGACAGAATCATCTATGAAAACAAGTTGTAACCCGGAAACTAGGCAAAGCAGGAGACAAAATTATATGACAGTAGATTGTGAGAACATATAGTTTTCATTTTCCACAACAGTTGTCACGATTTCAGGTTTATACAAACTGTAAACAAGATAATTTACCCCCTGAATCGTAGATGAATTCTGCATCGGCCCTCATATCTATTCCTCATATGATGTCACAGAGACGCCCCGCTCTGATTGGTTGAAATTTCGTTCGTGGATGAGAATTGTGCACTGTTGTCAAAAAGGTCGATTTAAGTTGCTTAAAGATCGAAGTGAGTAGTTTTAATGAAGGGGTTTCATTTATAGCGATGCCAGTTAGTGATTTATGTATTTGTACCCCCCTAGAGTATATGTGATCTTTAAGGGCTCTCCTTATGTGTTTTATCAATCCAAGCTAGCAACTCAGTAATTTCTTTGCACATTAAAGTGCAAATGACCTCATCCTAAAACCAACAACAACAAAAGCTAATCAGTTGCAACTCAAGTACTCTTCCTTAGTTATTAACTGATGACGTAGCCCTGAAAAATCATTAGAAGTTAATATATATTCTGTTGTCATCATTTTTCACTCGGATAAGACACGATTACTCATAAAATGTTTAATATGAAAGTTTATGAAGCTAAAGTTTGTATCCAAAGTTCTGAGAACTTTGCAATGACGTATGTTTTTTCGCTTGGCTCATTTGCATGCTGTTTGAGTCCACTGAGTCTCCCAATAAGCGTTGTCATTTTTTTGATAGGTGATATAAGCAAATCTGTCACTTACATTTTTCAATAGTAAATTTTTGTTCTGGTGAGTTATGTTTCAGTAATCTCTGTTTCAAACTGTGACAGTATGATATGTTATTATTCAGAAAGGTCTCTTGTTCTTCAAGTTCTAAATCGCCAGGCAATCTGATTGTAAAGGTTTTAAAATAACAAGACTGACCACATGTCTTTTATTGTCCAACAAGGTGTACTCACTATATTACTGATAACTCTTAGACGGTGATTGGCTAAAGGTAAAACCTGAATCCCACAAAAAGTCATTGATTTAAAACTAGAATTATAGAAAATGCATTTCTTTCCCTGTGATTACTGCTCTAAGGCAATGCTCGGTGTGTCATGGTGGCACTAAGAGTAGATAACATTGAAGTCAGCCTGTCTCTGTCCAAATTTCTAGGATTTTTTTCAAAAGTAAAAAGCTTGAGTTCTATCACAAGTTAGCAAAGTCTGATGAATAACTATTGCTATTTCAAATGATTGTATCCTATTATACTGATTGCATAAATGCTCTGGTCAGTTAACTTTCATTTCTGGTGTCCCCTGCGATGATACATTGCTAAAATCAGGTTAAAACAAATTTCACTCACTCACTAACTCTCAAGTGTTGCCCTGTGTTGCTTCTTGTATCGTCATGGCTGACTGCAGTCATTTTGTAACACTGGTGGAGGAGGCTTTGTACTGCATGCATCTCTGCAAAGTTTGTATTGTATGTGACATGTACATTAGCAATTAAACAATTACTTTGCTGTGTAAAACAGACTGACGGACCTGAGATTGTAAGCTGTTGTGTTGCTATGAGATATTAATCAGGAGTCAGTTAGCTTCAAGTGTGTCACTCTAAATATTTTTGTTTTTTATATTCCCAATTTATGTTTTTTATCTGCTTGAGAAACAACCTAACCATTAATTGATTTGAATGATCAAAAGAAATGCATATGGGTAGAACTTAAAGCAAGGTAATATAATCATATGAACAGATTTAAAATATATGGCTTTCCAACTTTGTAGGTGCAACTATGGTTCTACGAAGGAAATTTTCAGCATCTCACTTCTTTGAGGACTGCTGTCGCTACAGGGTCACCATTATACAGTATATTGGTGAACTGTTCCGCTACCTTCTTTCACGGCCAGAGGTGAGTTTACTGGGTGTCGACCTACAGTATATTGGTGAACTGTTCCGGTACCTTCTTTCACGGCCAGAGGTGAGTTTACTGGGTGTCGACCTACAGTATATTGGTGAACTGTTCCGGTACCTTCTTTCAGGGCCAGAGGTGAGTTTACAGGGTGTTGTACTACAGTATATTGGTGAACTGTTCCGGTACCTTCTTTCACGGCCAGAGGTGAGTTTACAGGGTGTTGTCCTACAGTATATCGGTGAACTGTTCCGGTACCTTCTTTCACGGCCAGAGGTGAGTTTACTGGGTGTTGTCCTACAGTATATTGGTGAACTGTTCCGGTACCTTCTTTCACGGCCAGAGGTGAGTTTACTGGGTGTCCTCCTTCAGTATATTGGTGAACTGTTCCGGTACCTTCTTTCACGCCAGAGGTGAGTTTACTGGGTGTCGATCCTACAGTATATTGGTGAACTGTTCGGTACCTTCTTTCACGGCCAGAGGTGAGTTTACTGGGTGTCGACCTACAGTATATTGGTGAACTGTTCCGCTACCTTCTTTCAGGGCCAGAGGTGAGTTTACAGGGTGTTGTACTACAGTATATTGGTGAACTGTTCCGGTACCTTCTTTCACGGCCAGAGGTGAGTTTACAGGGTGTTGTCCTACAGTATATCGGTGAACTGTTCCGGTACCTTCTTTCACGGCCAGAGGTGAGTTTACTGGGTGTTGTCCTACAGTATATTGGTGAACTGTTCCGGTACCTTCTTTCACGGCCAGAGGTGAGTTTACTGGGTGTCCTCCTTCAGTATATTGGTGAACTGTTCCAGTACCTTCTTTCACGGCCAGAGGTGAGTTTACTGGGTGTCGTCCTACAGTATATCGGTGAACTGTTCCGGTACCTTCTTTCACGGCCAGAGGTGAGTTTACTGGGTGTCCTCCTTCAGTATATTGGTGAACTGTTCCGGTACCTTCTTTCACGACCAGAGGTGAGTTTACTGGATGTCCTCCTTCAGTATATCGGTGAACTGTTCCGGTACCTTCTTCATGGCCAGAGGTGAGTTTACAGGGTGTCATCCTACAGTATATTGGTGAACTGTTCCGGTACCTTCTTTCACGACCAGAGGTGAGTTTACTGGGTGTCCTCCTTCAGTATATTGGTGAACTGTTCCGGTACCTTCTTTCACGGCCAGAGGTGAGTTTACTGGGTGTCGTCCTACAGTATATTGGTGAACTGTTCCGCTACCTTCTTTCACGGCCAGAGGTAAGTTTACAGGGTGTCATCCTACAGTATATTGGTGAACTGTTCCGGTACCTTCTTTCAGGGCCAGAGGTGAGTTTACTGGGTGTCATCCTACAGTATATCGGTGAACTGTGCTAGTACCTTCACAACATGCTCTTTTTCACAACTGGTTCATCTCATCCAATATTCAGATATAATACCGATGGCTCTGGACTCATTGACTACTTCATTGCATGGTTGTACTGTTTTCCTTTCAGAGCCCTGAAGAGAAAAGTCATCAAATTCGAGCAGCATTTGGCAATGGTCTGCGCAGAGACATTTGGGAGCAGGTGCAGGCGAGATTTAGAATACCCCAAATAACTGAGTTCTTCGGGGCAACAGAAGGAAACACAATGTTGTTCAACGTCAGTAACAAACCTGGGGCTATTGGAAGACTCTCTCCACTGTTGGTGAGTTCAGTACGTGGACAGGTTTGATGGTCAAAGTCCCACTTTCACAAATAAACTTAAAGTGAAGACAAGTGAACTACTAAGGATGGAAACTGACAGCAGCATAACGCAACATACAGTCAATGTCCTTGACCATTTGTTCTTGTTTTCCGATGATGATTGAAACATTATCCAGAAATGGCAAACTTTTATGGCTGTGACTATGATTTTTTTACGCTCATTACATGAATATACAAATAATGTAAGTCCGTACGTACGAATTGGAATATCTTAAGAACTGTTCACTAGATTATTTTCATATTTGGTACCTATGTTCATCACAGTATAAGAAAGGTCCGATTCAGGTTTGGTGAGCTTGACCATTTCAAGGTCACAAGGGGACTTTAACGTTTTACCTGCATGTTAAGCTATCTCAAGAACCGTTCACTGGATTTTCTTCATATTTGAAACCAAGCTTTATCTAGGGAAAGCCAGGGCCCAGTCGATTTTGATGACCTTCACATATTTGTCAAGGTCATGGCAACACTTTGAAGATTTCAGCATGTAAACCTGCATGTTAAGCTATCTCAAGAACCGTTCACTGGATTTTCTTCATATTTGAAACCAAGCTTTATCTAGGGAAGGTGCAGGGCCCAGTCAATTTTGGTGACCTTCACTTAATTTTCAAGGTCACAGAGACACTTTAAAGATTTCAGCATATTAACCTGAATTGTCAGCAAGATATTTAACTGGTTAACTGGATTTTCTTCATAGACTTTCAAGACTTCCCTTGAATGTTTTTCAATAAGCAATTTCTTTAGTACTATTTTTGCTTATTTCATGCACTATGACATTCATGTCAAGGTCAAAGTCAGTCTTGAAAATATGTGAGTGTTTGAACATCAAAAGAGCAAGATATCAAGAGAGGTTGGCTGGATATGTTTTTGTTGACATTTAACTTAAACTTTCATTACTTTATAAGTTTGATTTGATATTTTGCGATGGGGGATTATGTCACCTTAGTGACAATGCTTGTTTCAAATTTTCTTTTGTCTTAATTACTTATTTATATTATTTTAACAGCGGATGTTGAGTCCAAATTACCAAACCTTGGTCAAATATGACATTGCAACCGCAGAACCAATCAGAGACAGCAACGGACATTGTATAGAAGTTAAACCAGGTTAGCTTTACCTCCACATTCAATATATATGTCTGAAGTTTGAAGTTTGTAGCACTTCCTAAAGAACTGGCATCACACCTTTGACACTTTATGCGAAATTTCATGAGATTTGAATCAGATTAAACCCCAAGCTTATGCCACTCATATACTCCATCATGCCCCGTTGCATCGTTCAAAAAAGTACATTCCAAAAACTGAACCACCAGAATTCTGCTATCTGCCAGCTTCACGCAAGACTATCACTGCTGGTAATCCATGTTCGTACACTTTCAAACCGCTTGGCCACAATCCTGTCCCAAATGATGAAAAAATTGTCCAAGAATCCCAAGTCCTAAGTAAATCATCAATAATAATTCACCATATTTAAGAATATACAACATTGTACAGTATGCAACACAAACACCACTCACACTCTCAGCTAATAAATTGTATGTCTAGCCAGTCGATTGTCATTAAATCACTTGCAATTCATTTATTGAGACTGAACTGTCACTACTGAAAACAAAGTATATCCTTTGGATGAGGATGCCAACTGTTGTGATTTGAATTTTTTATTGAGTACTTTGTGTGTTTTATGTAGGAGAGAAGGGCCTGTTCATTTCGGCCATTGCTCCTGAGTTGGAAGAAGTCAACTTCTATAAGGCATCACAGGAAGCCAATGAAAAGAAGCGTATCCGTAATGTTTTCAAGAAAGGTGACTCTTACTTCAACTTCGGTGACCTCTTCTACCTCGACCGAGACTACTTTGTGTACTTTGTTGATAGAATTGGTGACACTTTCAGGTTGGTAGCCAAATGTGATGAAACTATTTCCACTAGGATTAAGTCTAAAGAATTTTCTTTAATATCAGATTGTTTAACCAGATGCAATACCTCTTTACAAGAAGAGGACATTGTAAGAGGTCATGGCAGGTCAACTTTCGAATTAACCAATCACCATCAAGTCTTCTAATGTATAATTTCCGGATTTAATCAAGGAAATTTGAATTTGAAAAAATAATAATAAACAATAATATTGCTATGATATGTTGTATATACTGTTGTTTGTGAGTTTGTGACATTTACTAACTGAAAGGCTTTCCAGGGTGGTATTTGTTGTGTAGTGGTTTCTTTGGCAGAGATTGAAAATTTCCAATTCAAGGTGTTAAAGAATTTAAGCCATCTTGTTTTTGAAATTTGCACCCACACATCCTTTATTTTAATTGACTGGTAAAAGTTTGTGGGCTTTCTATGGAGGTGGGGTAGCCCAGTGGTTAATGCACTCACTCATCACACTGAAGACATGGGTTTGATTCAGCACATGGGTACAATGTGTGAAGACCATTTCTGGTGTTCCCCACTGTGATATTGTTGGCATATTGCTAAAGGTGGCGTAAAACTAAACTCACTCACTGACTCATTTCTATGGAGGTGTTGTCAAATCTTGATGCAGACAGCAGTTATATCACTGGAAGTTCTGATTCTTTACCAAGATTGTGTTTGATTTTTAAAATAAAACAAAAAGGCAAACTTTCTATTTAGTTACTGCAATATTTATCAGAACATAGATATCCTCTTTTCATCGCTGACTTGATGGATTGTCCCACAGCTATTACCATGAAAAATATTCAGTGCCTCAGAATGAATCTAAAAAGGTTTGTTGTCGTTCTCACTATAGTGTTAGTACATCGACTAACAGTGTCAACTCTGCTTGGTTTCTAGATGGAAGGGTGAGAACGTATCAACAACGGAGGTGGCCAACATTTTGACTTCCCTGGATTTCATCCATGATGCCAATGTCTATGGCGTCACTATTCCAGGTGGGTGTTTTCAGGTCTGTGGAAGACTTTTTTGCTGTAAATTGGTGGGAAATCTGAGGTTGTTATCCCAGTTAGCATGCTTGTATCATTTGTCCAATACGTAGTGTACCAGTTGCCTTTATTATAAGTTATCTGGATTCCAAGTATACCATAGTTTTACACTCATAAAATTCGAGGACAGACACTGGGTGCATCCTGTCTCATGAAGAATTTTATTAACAGTGAGTGAGTATGGTATTCTGATGTTTTTAGCAATGTTTCTGCAATAGTTTTTAGTTTTACACCGCACTCAGCAATATTCCAGCTATATGGCAGCGATCTGTAAATACTCGTATCTGGACCAGACAATCAAGTGATCAACAGCATAACATCGATCTACGCAATTGAGATACGATGACATGTGTCAACCCAGTCAGCGAGCCTGACCACCCGATACCGTTTGTCATTCCTGCAAAATCCCGGCAGAGGACATCAGAGTCAGAAAAAAGTATTAATATGCCAAGGTATATGCAGATTAATAGAATCATTCTGCATCATTCTATGTATTACTCCCAATTGTGTAGATCGATGCAGGCCACCGTCAAATAACTGGAAAATTGTTGAGTGTGGCGTTAAACAACAATTTAAGCTAAACCATCAGAGGTCAAATCAAAAGATACCTGTACAACCTGACCTGACCTGTCTAGATGAACGATGTGTTGAGCCAATCAAATGTTACCTCTGTAAAGTAATACAGTTTCATTTGTGGACCACCTCAGTTCGGCTATTTTGATCCTAACAATATAGACTCAAAATGACACAAATACTTCATTGTGTTCCCTTTTGTACGTACATGCCATGGTGCCAAGTACTGCAACTTTTAAATGTTTAGATTCATAACAACCATTGTTGTTGCTGAAATTGAGATGTCTGCTATTCTGCTCGAATAATTCACTTAATTTAGAAGCTTTGACTGTTTTCATGCAACTGACTAAACTGTCACACAAAGTGATATATTCAGCTTGTTCCGGAATAACACGAGTTGGTCAGGAATGGCTGATGTATATGTCTTGTGTCAGCTAGTTTTGTTATCAGTTGATTAGTTGAGCATCTTGTGTATTTCAGGGCAAGATGGTCGAGCCGGCATGGCAGCCCTGACACTCTACGATGATAAACCCTTCACCCCCGAGCTCCTGCGAAAAATCTGGAAACACTGTGAGGAAAATCTAGCTACATATGCCCGTCCAATGTTTCTGCGTCTTCAAAAGGAGGCTACGCTGACAGCTACATTCAAACAGAGGAAGGTTGAGCTGGTCAAGGAGGGATTTGACATCAACCTAGTGGACGATCCTCTCTATTTTGTTGACCAGGTCACTAAGTCCTACATTCCCTTAAAACAGGACACATACTCCCGAATCTTGACCACATCCAAGTTGTAGCTGTGGCAATGGGGTAGCCAGTTCAAATTGTAGGTGTCAGCACCTGTACCATGAACCACTGTTGCCTTGTAACTGACCAGGGGAACCTTATATCCTCAGTATTATGACATAAGTAAACTCCAGGTGTAAAGTCGAAGGAATATTGCTATTAGTTGTTACTATCTGTGTTTTCATGCGAACTATGTGCTTTGTTAAGAGTTTATATCTGGAATAGACAGTTTACTTCATCTTCCATCCAAAAGAAATACTTACTGTAATCAAGAACCGATCCACAATGTCTGTCCATTTTTATATTGTAATTAATGATTGTCCATTCATAGCACCATCTCAATATTGATGAGGGATGTGTTCAAGCACATAGCTTCTTATTATTATCACGTAAGGGAATCAACAAAAATCAGTCCACAGACTGAATTTCGTCTTTTTTAAGGTGATGGAATTAATCATTACTATACAGATCTCGTGATATTAGTCAGTGCTCTTTTGTTGGAAACTTATAGAATATATGCCCCTGGTCCCAATCCACAAAGCATTCGGAGCGTTATCTTAAGTATATTAATTCATTATAGGTTTATGAAAATCAAAGTGCCATGAACTCTTTGTGTGGATTGGGCACCTGGATTTTAACATATATATTGTGACCTGTGCCTGAAATTTACTATTGCTCAAAACCAGCATACATGTATGTGGCGGTCAGTGATTTTTTGTCTTGTTTCAGATAAACTAAAGACACTGTTTTATATGCTACTTTTTTGTGTCATGGCATGAAATCCATTTAAGAGGAACTCTGTAGATGATAGAGGATGTGAGACTTTTCTTGTCAAAGGACATGCTGATCTACAGAGACATGACAAAATAGATACTAGTATTATCGTGTTTGAAAGTGCCAACTTTTAAAGATCATGAGATGGGATAAAGGTTTTCCTTGACAAGAAAGGGTAAATGTTCTATTTGTTACGACAGATCTTACTGAAACAGACTGCAAGTAGTTTTTTCATAGACTGTTATTTCATTCAAATGAGCTGTAGAGAATCACAACCTTGTGTCTTTTGATATCAACACTCATTGATAGAAACTCTGAGGGTCTCTGATAAATAGCATCCCACCACATGGAGGCTTGCAAAATACTTCTGTAGACAATCTTGGATGTATATTTTATACAAAAAACACACAAGGAGATTCTCTTTATCGTCTCAAATCATTCTTCATAATTGTACATTAGTAGAATTCACGTTGCCTGCAAGCAGTGTGATGCAATTTGATGGTGGTTCTATAGTAATTCATCACTAAAACATGAGTCTGTGTATGTGTGATTGGCTGCAAGAAGTAAAGCATTGTACAGAGCCTATATAGATGTGCAACTGAGGACAATATGAATATTGAATAGATGTAACCAAAACGGCAGCAGGTATCAGGTAACATTTTTACGGCTTGTTTCTTCTGCTTTCTAAAGTCAGGAGCATGAGTCAAATGTTAGTGATGTATATTTATTATGAACCAGTAGCAATTGTCCAGTTCTCCTTGGTTGTTATCTGTTATATGCGTTAAAGTCTATATTTTAACCATCTTGAGTGACGCACAACATCGCTTTTTTATCAACAGATCATTCCAAAATGTAACTAAAATCTATTATCTGATACAATACTGCTCTGAAAATCTATGGACACCTGTGCCCGAGTTTGTGTCAGGTAAACTAATAACTCTGTGTTTGTTGTTTAACGTCACACTCAGCAGGATTCCATCTGCATATATGAAGACTGTAAAGCAAGCCTGGACTAGACAATACCATCATTGATATTATGGCCAATGATTCATGTCATCTGTGAACCTTGGTGTGCCAACAACCAAGTCACTAAGCCAGGATCATGTATCCATTGTATCTTGATGTTATTGGACACATGAAAAATGGTGTGAAGATTGGTCTTCACTTCTGTCATATGATGACTAGAGGGATCGGGTGGTCAGACTCACTGACAGCTGATGCATATGATCTTATCCCAGATCGGTGCTCATGATGTCCATCACTTGATTGTGTGGACCAGATTTGATTATTTTCTGTCCACTGTTATATCGGTGGAATATTGCTGAGGATGCGGTTACACAACAACCATGATGTCCCAGTATTCCAGAGTGATGCATCAGACTTAATGTAGAGTGGACGTTATAACAAAATGACAGATAATGCTTGTGGGTCATTTTTCAGTGTCAATACATTTATGTGTTTTTAGGTTTGTGGTGGTTTTAAATGAAATTTCCATGCATTTGATACTCATTAACACCCTCAAATCTGAAAACACATATTATTTATATTCTAGTTTTTGATGACAAGGTTATAATTTGTTCCTGTAGAATCAGATTTTACTTCAGTGTTCATTTATTTGACATTATATATCACAGAATTAATTCAGCCTCTTTAGTGTACACATTAATTACTTGTTGTAACTTGGAATAAGCCAGCTTGCAGAGTTTGTTTGAAATTATGCATGAAAGCCAAGGGGTACTCACATAACTGTAGAAGTACAAACATTCCAGATTCAAAGACCACAAGACCAGCTGAAGCAAACCTCTGTGACCAAAGGATCCCGATTTCTGAAACACTGCCTTAAATTGCTCCCATTGTCTGATGCCAGTGTGGGTAAAACTGGTCCATAATACCTACTTAAGTTACTGACTGTAAAAGTGCAACTAAGATCAGCAAGAGTGGAAACTTTATAGTCAAATTTTACAGTCAGTTATCTCCCTTGCTTATGGAAGACGTATCATAATGGCTTCCACATTCTGGCAAGGCCGCCAACCATGGCTTCTTAGTTTGCTTCACTATTTTTGCACAAAGGTTTCCTTATATAGCTTTGGAAAAACTAAGAAAAATGGCCGGGCTCAAAATAAACAGGGCAGGGTGCTGCACCCTGCTAAAAATGCCTTGCGGAAACTCTAAAACATTTTTACCGATATCCAAATAGGAGTTTTTAGGTATCTGTTCAACTAGATACCGGTGATCGAAAAACTGTTTCATTTGCTGTGTTATGTCATCTATGCGAGGCTTTGACATTAAAGTGAAAAGCTTTCTGTTGTGATCATGTGTCACATGCACATACCTGACCAGTGTTGTCTTAGAAATGTCCATGTTGTCTGTTTAGTGACTGCTTTTTATATTCAGATTTTCATTTATTCCAGGCCTCATTTGACTTTTTGTCAGGTTATATTTTAAAATGTTGTTTCATTAGTTATATCGATGTGTTTTTGTATCTGAAATCGACTATATTCACTTGATCTTGTATCATCACTGTTACAGTGTGGCCATATGTTTTGACTATTGGGTAACAGAAATCAACATAGTTTTTGTTACTGTCCTTCACAGAACAGCTATTATGTTATAGCTGTTTTTAGCCTTTGACAACTGTGCTTCATGAAACTAGTACATTATTCACCTTGAACTTGGAACATGTCAGTACTGATTCCTGGATATACATGCCGCCCTGAGTTAATACTGTCAGTGGTCGATATATTCTCATAGACAAATAACACCAGAAGCAAGGAGCAATACTTCATATAAAAAACTTGAAGTTGTAGTTGTTTGGAATTTTTTGTAAATATTTATTAAAAAGCCAATAATTAAATGAACTTAAGGTTTTAAAAAGAGTCTTTGCAAGAGAATTTGATGATGACATTGTCCATATTTTATCAATATTCTAGATGGAGATCTTTTACATAATTTGGATCACAGTAAGTCCGGATCCATATTCAAGAATATGAACCAATCTTATACCTTGGAAAGAAATCCCATAATCTCATCAATGTTTTGGATAGTGTATATCAGCCAAACCTATGCTTACAACAGTCAAAACATGTCACCTGTAGAAGCTGTTTTCAGTTGCCCTATTTAACCATGAAAACATATTAATAGTTACAGCTAGATTAACACTTGATGTTACCAAACATACTTTCCTGTCTTCCATTGCCTATATGATAGAAATAGACTGTAGCTTGTGTTATACATTGAATATACATTTTCAGATGATTATTTGTTGTTTGTATAACTAATAATAGAATGATTTAAGATGATTACTGCATTTGATACCAGACTAAACTGGAATTGATTATCAGAATTCAGGGATATTCTTGTTTTAAGCTAGATGACTGATTTTAGAGCTGTGATACCTGTATAAAATGTGAATCAATTCAAGATAAAGTCCATTTTTGCAAATGATGGGATTGTTTTGCTGAAACATTTTGAGCAAGTAACTGTTTTCATTCATCGATTGAAGGACTAAAAAGTATATCCAAGTTGTTCCTCAATATAAAGAAGTTGACATTCATACATTCTAGCCTTTATGTTGAAAGGATGAAATGCAAAGTTTCAAAGTGTTCATCTGAAGTCTGATCAATACTGAAATCAACCATACACACACCCTTGTACACAAACTCAAATACAGAGGAAAATAGATGTTCTGTTAGTCTTGGGTAAGTCCTCTTGTCTAAAGACTGCCTCCGTGGTGTAGTGGTTAGAGCGTCGGCTCGGAGAGCAGAAGGTCGTGGGTTCGATCCCCGACTGCGTCATACCAAAAGACGTAAAAATATGGTACTTGTTGGTCCCTGCCTGGCTCTCGGCATTAATAGGTACAACAAGGACTGGTCGGCTTGGAGTCAGTATAATGTGTCTGAGTGGGGTATTCATGCTTCACTGCGGTTTGGTATCTCAGTGGGCTAGCACTATAAAACCAGCTTAAGTCTGGGCTAGTACAAGCAGCTGCACATACACATATACATCGTCACCTCATCTAACCTCTTGTCTAAGAGAGGGATGAACAAGTTTGTGATGTGCTACCAAATTTTGGAATCTCTCATCTTGCATCTGCCTCAAGTATGAATGACAACTAAAGACAGGTGAACTTCAGATACTAGGATTTATTCCTTTGAAACAAATTTCATCTTAGAAGTATGAATGAAACAAAGAAAAGAGATAGAAGTAAACTAAATCTAAACATGCAACCTTCATAATCTTGGACAGTTTATGTTTACAGATTTTGTATTCATTTACACATTGTATACAAATCAAACTGTGGCCTCCACCTCCCCATCTAGCCACACCTACACCACCTGTACTAACCATGACTTTAACATGTTGTACACTGTATACAAACTACAAGCCTATCCAAACAGTGACCTCCACCTCCCCATCTATCCACACATACACCACCTGTATGACGTCACTGCAGTGGTCTGGCGACAGAGTTACGTAACCTGTCTGGTTTCGTTGCCGGGCGAGAGTGAAGCAGCCGATTTTGGGGCAACTTTTAATCGCTCGGTATTAATTAACCACAAGTTTTTTTTTTAAGAATGAATTTGGTTTTCCGCATAAGACTAACCACAAATCTTTCATATGTAATAGTTAAAAGAGTAAAAAACAACAAACTTTATTTGTTCTTTAACATTACATCTTGTACACTGTATACAAACTACAACTTGTCAAGCCTATCCAAACGCCATCTTTACCAGCTATGACATATATTATAAGTTGTATGCTTCTCTAGAGGGTAATACGGTCTGATGTACGCCTCTTTGTAGCGGTGTCATCCCTCGCCTACCGGTTCGGGTGACACTGCTACAAAGAGGCGTACATCAGACCGTATTACCCGAGGGAGAAGCATACAACGTATTTATCTTACCGCAATGTTAAATGTACAAACTATTTTATTATATGATCGCTACCGACTATATGACATGTAAACAAAATGGCGTCTGCCACTCGACTGGATTTTTTTAAATCAGTGAAACATATTCTGACAAAGGTGAACACTGCTATAAAAATGGAGTGTGCAAGCGATTCAATGTTTAAATGGTTTAAATAAAGCAGTGGAAGTCGGTTAAATACATCTGTATATAGTGAAATCAATAAAGCCTAATCGAACGGTTTTTGAACTCCGGACACTGCATGCGTCAGGGAGACGGTGATTTCGTAGACAAAACCAGTTCGTAGACGCGGTGAATTCGTAACCCAGACCGGTTCGTAGACGGTGATTTCGTAGACGTGTATAAATAATTGAATAATAGTATATATTAAGTTTGATTTTTACTTAGAATGTTTATAACGAAGTTGTTATGCTTTGTTTTCAGTGATACGAAACTAAGGGCAGCTAAAGACTCAAGAAAATGTGAATGAATATTTTCCCGTATGCTTTGTTTTCAGTGATACGAAACTAAGGGCAGCTGAGGACACAAGAAAATGTGATTGAAGTGTGAACGAATATTTTCCCGTATCTTGTCTACCTTCTTGAGGTTTATATACCATAAGTGTGTGTACAGGTAAACTTTGTCGGCGGATTAGAGAAAATTAGTCTACTCATCATAATTGCCGACTGGTTTCATTGTTGTGGGAGGATTAACAGTTTTCACTGAGTTGTTGTGAATGTGGAAAGAGTTCCGCCCGTACGAATTCACCTACAGCCATGCGTCATACGATTGTTAGCGATACAGCTTCTCGGCGGAGAGTTTGGCGGTTACCGTGGCAGCCGGTAATATTTTTTGCAGTCGTCACCCTCCTGGGAGGGGTGACACGGAAACTTATTAAAGCGTCATTGACCAATGAAATTAAAGTATTTTACATGAAGGTAAGATAAGTTATGTCCTATCATCTGATATCTAACAGAAACTGGTCTATGAATTTGAGTCCAGTTCAACATTATAACATTGAGTTATCACTTCACTTCTTCACTTGTATGTTACTTATTCCTAAGAAGTATAACTACTGGACAGGAATGGGGAGCTATAACTCTTGACAGGGAAAGGAACTAGAAGTACAGCCTCTGATAGGGGCAGGAAATGGTGCTAGAGGCACAGGGAAGAACAGGGCCTGGATTTTCAAAGCTCTCTAGCGCTAAGATAGTCGTAAGTTAATGTTAATGTATGGCACTTACGACTCTCTTAGCGCTAAGATAGTCGCAAGTTGATCTTAAAATATGGCACTTGCGACTATCTTAGCGCTAAGAGAGCTTCGGAAATCTAGACCCAGGACTAATATGCGCACTTTATAGGAAGAAAATCTGCAGCTTCCATTACCAAGAACCGAGTCCATGAATCAACGTTTTTAGTTGCTTGGCTACTTGATTGATCTACTTCGTCAAGACGTCGTTTCTTTTCATGGCGAGATGAACCAGCTTGTTGTGACATGATGAAAGGAATATGATTAATCACTCCTGTTCCCCACCCACCAGGGATACAAGGGTGGTATACTCCAGTAAATACGACATAAATAGCTACCAAATAAAAGCGTCTACCAAATGTATTGTCAGGCTGGTTCGGCTCTAAAAACACCCTTGGAGACATATAGAATTTTGAGATTTCTACTTCACCAGATTGGCCCATGAGCCACCGCCTTCTGGCATAGGACTCCAGGCAATGAAATATATTGATAATATATTGATAATTTGAAAATTGGAAAGACCAACACACCAAAATGAGTAAAATGTGCAAAAATAGTCACCATGCACAGGGCTTGTCGTGAGCAGCCGACTGATAGAATCGGGCCTATTCTACCAGCCGTCTAGGTGAAGTAAGGGCATAAGTGGTGTGTTGGGCAAAAGGAACACGGTTCTAGGCTCCCTTGCCCTCAACCACCAGAATCCCGCACTCCACCCATACAGGGGCGCAACCCACGGTAAACAGGTTGCCCAATTCGGTCTTACGACCAGCAATAGGGTGCTGTAAACTTATATGCCCCCGGGTCCGCACGGGGATGAAGAGGTATTAGCGTTACCCAGCACCCACCACGAGGAGGTTGCTCTTCAAGGGTGCCTTCTACACAGATACCCCAGTGGGGAAGCCTAGAGGTTAAAGCGTTCGCTCGTCACGCCGAAGGCCCGGTTCGCTTCCCCACATTGGTACAACGTGTGAAGCCCGTTTCTTGCGTCCCCTGCCGTTGTATTGCTGGAATATTGCTAAAAATACTCTCTTCTCTCCTCCTCCCACCCTAACTTCTGCACATATGATACTATCATCTACGTAGATGGTATATTTTAGTCTGTGACACAAATAAGCTTCCACACATTTGCACCATTATATAAACTGTTATGAAAATATTCACTTGGTGGAGAACTGTCTCTGTGAAATGAAAATTATAGTATGTACAAAATATCATAACAATATTATTTTTTATATACTGAGTCAAAAAAGAAACTTCACATTTTTTCTTCAGGGCACTATAAAAGAACAAGAGATGGTAAGATGGTTAAATTGTTATTATTTCATTGCTGAGATCTGTGTGATGTACTCGATACACTGACAGTGCCATAATCAGTTCCATTAGGCTATGTACACCGCCGTTCCAAAACATGGGTATACAGAATGTCAAGTCACAATATGGACGTCGAAAATGGAGATTGGCAGCCCGCAACCGATTTCGAATGGTCTGTGAGGACAGTCGACCTCTAAACATCTCAGCCCTGGTTCGTGTAGCCGGCAGAAATCTGTCACGTAGGTGACGTAGGACGAGTTGACGGTCTTCTGCTCGTGACGTCACACGTGGACGACCCGAACTTGGGCGATCAGAAGTGGTGCCAGTTTGTTGTAGACGACCTCGCAAGTCATACACAGTCAATAACTGATCATCCCACTTGCACTTGCGACGTCAATAACTGATCTTCCCGCTTGCAACATGCCAACGGCACGTTCACGTTGCACATTTGACAATTGTGGCATTTCAAGTACCGTTAGAACTGTGGTTTAAAAGTGTTTTTTCAATTCTTGAGGCCAATGCAAACACGTGCATATGAAAAACCTGATATGGCACTAACGTCATTTGCACGACGAATGGATGGGTTTGAGTGGGTTTTGCTAACGTTTTTCTAGAGTCGAAAGATAGGGATCCCATTTTGGATACATAGATGTATCATGAGAGAAAAATGATTCATTATTTTTCAAATTACATTTTGTGAAGTTTCTTTTTTGACTCAGTATATATGGTTTCTTGGTTTTATATGCCTACCCTTACATTTTCAGTGGTTTTGCAAAGGGAGATCATTTTTGTAACGTTAAGAGTAGGCTCCCTTTAATCAATTAACGTTAGAAAAAATAAGTCTTTGATTTAACATGTGCATTTCCGGGGAAATTCATTTTGTTGTTATCCTGAATGTTTCACTCATTTACTTAAAGATGTATTTAGAAAGATATATAAAAAATTTCCGCTGTTGTTTAGGTCACGATTGCTAAGTT